AGGCAAATTATAGACCAAGAGATTCTGGTTTGAGCGTAATTTGCTCAAAATTCAGCTAGTTTCCAGAAGTTATTTTTCCAAGTTTCAGGTCATGCCTTTTGCAAAACTCCAACAGCAAAATCTTCCTTAAAGCAGCACCAATATGGCAATGTTTTAGGACTTAATTTTTTAATAGACTGTATTAAATTGTGTTCCTTGCAATAGGTAACAGTGTTAATACATTGCAGTTTTATTAATACTGCTATAAAGTTATCTTACAAAAGAATTTAGTCAGTGTTCTGTATGCCAAAAGTAACTAAAAATAACTTTGTATAACTATGCAAAACCACTACTAGATAATTTAAATAAAACTTTTTAAAAAGATGTTTAATAGGGCCTGTGGCTAAAGATGCCACTGTAATTTTAACACGAGTGTTGATCTGCATAAATATGGGTGCAATTAACAGAAACTTGCAATGGTGAATAATTCGACCTGGTGGTATGGCTAGTACTAATTATGGTCAGAGTTTGTTTCCAGAGCAATGTTTTATAAACTAATGCAAAAGACCATGAAAATCAATTTGAACTTGAAATTTATCAATCTTTTGTGTTGGTTTTGGTTGACTTAGGGAATAGCAGTGTAATCTTCCAGAAACTCAAGGGACTATTTTATATGGATAAATAATTAAAATATATACTATTATGTTTCCATATTTATTTTTGAAGTGTGATTGAGTAGCAAGATGGACAGGAAATATGCAGTCATTTTTTGATGCTGGATGTTGCAATATTTTGAAATTGTTACAAAGTTTTAATACCTGGGACCTTTCATGGACTAAGATGATTTTAAAAAAGGAAAAACACAGACTTAAGATGGGGAGAATGCTCACCTGATTTGGTTGTACCAAGTTGTACCAAGCTCATTGACCATCAATAAATAAGGCCCAGTCTGAACTGCAACTAACATCATTATAAAAAGACACTAGAACTCAGATCAGTACCTCCTAGTTGATTTGCACATTTCTGGAAATTCACACACTGGAATGAAAGTTGCTTGTGAATTCTCCAGCTTAAAAAAAAAGTGAAGCCAGTCATGGGAATACAGAAGTGAAATGAACTTCAAGCAACAGTTTTGTGGCAGTGTGAGAATCAAATGGATCTATAACAGCTGAACTGGCAGGTTTACTCTCTGTCCCTCTATTTTACTTAGCTTCTTGAGAAACAGTGCCCAGTGGTAAAGCAAACAGGGAAAATATCCATTCACCAAGAACTCAAGGACATCGACAAAATTTCAACACTGCTGGTAAAGACGATAAAGACGTCAATGAAACAACTGTGGTCTTAGATTAAAACCTAACCTACAGACATTTTTTTAAAAATTCCATATACTTGATCCTTTTTGTTCAATATATTCTCCCCATTTTTAAAAACTTAATTTCAGAGTGAAATAGAAAATGGTGTACATACCAGTCTTTGAGTAACCTTGCACACCAGCTGTTTTACTGTAACCAATACGTTAAGTTTTGCGTTCTCAAAATAATACCATGTTGAGGATCACAATATATGGAAGAAAAGCAACTACTTGTACTCAGATAGCACTGTCACTGTAGTTAAAAACATCCTAAGGTGCTTTACTTATCAGAAAAAAAATATACTGACACTAACGCACAGGACAGGACAGATTAAATAGGTACTTAAGGAGGTGAATGAGGCTGTGGGGTAAGTAGAAAATGTCAATGCTTAGGTTCTAGAGAACCAAAAGACAAAGCAAGCATCAAAACCAAGGACATACAAGAACCTAGAATTGGAGGGATATTGGCACTTTTCAAGTTGCAAGAGAAACACAGGATAAACATTTTAAAATCAAAGCACTGCTGGGTGAGGGGCTGATTAGGTAAACCAAGACACAGAATGGGCAAAAGGGAATTCATGCACATTAAGATATGGACAGTAGAGTTTTTTGGAGGGGAAGGGAATGTGGGAGGACAGCAAGAAGAGCAGTGAAATTGATGTGAGGAAGGGCAGATGCACAAATGATGGTCTCAATAGCAGATGCTGGGAAACCGGGGCACAAGAGTTGATGAACAATAAGGCTTAAAAACACTCAAAATAAAAGTGGGTACTTCAATCGCATGCAATTTCCTTCAGGTTTAGGTATTGCCAAATGCCTGTGCCTGGCCAGGAGGCGAGCTTGGCTTGAACAGAGGTGGAAGCAGGCATTTTTGCGATGGCGAAGAGGTGTTATTAGAAATTCAGCTCAGGCTTAAGCAGGAGACTGAAGCTGTGAACAGCTTGATTCAGGTTCAGACAGTTGCCGGGGCGGCAGGGGTGGGTGATGTAATTGGGGCTACAACAAAAAGTTTTCTGCTCCTCGAAACTGGAAATTCTATCTAAGTAGGAAAGATTAAATTCATAAACAAAGTTCTGAATAAAGTCATAACTGTGTTGTCAGACCATGAGATGTTTAGCTTGGAATTTTATTTTGGAAGTTTTTGTGAAAGTACTTTCCAGAATGTGGTAAATTTAATCGAGGTTACTTTATGCCAGGTCACATTGATTTATTCTGCTTTTAGACTCCACAGCTGACCTGGAATAGTTTCAATGGGCCTTGAAATTCTTCAATGCATACAAGTTTGTTCTTTCTCTCAAGTATTTGGACAAGAAACATCCTCTTCAGTAGATAATGCTATCAACGAACAAATTTGTATTTCACTCATATGTGCAGACCTCGTGTCTAACCACTTTTACTTCAAGGGGGGAGTCTATTGAATCAATAGCTGAAAATGGATTATCCGATCTCTGCATTTTCTCACTATTAACAAAATCTTTGGGGTTTGATTGCAACTAGAAACTACAAAAATAACATGATAAAATTTGTATTTTGTACCCTTGCCCCCACAGATAATAACACCAGCAATACAGACTGAAGAACAGTATCATTGAAAGGAATAATTTTTAAAAAAAGGAGAGATAATTTATAAATTAAGCCATCCCACAAAATATTAGCTAACAGTTACAATACTCTGTTAAGAGAAGATCAGGAATTATGCAAAGCCAAGCATCAATCACCATGGATCTGGATAAAGATGGCAGCTTTGATCCTAACTTTTCGTTTGCCATTTGATTTTTCACAGCACCACAGCCAAAATGCGATCCTGCCCTCCTCCAAACTTTACACATTAAAACCAGATGTAGCAGCTAGCGAGCAACTCACAGCAATATGAACGAACCTGGTGGATTTCATACCTCTCAGGGTATGGGACACAGATTAAATATCATGTCACAAGCCAGTCTCCCAGGTCAGTGAATTTGGCAAAGATCAGGGATCAAATCAGGGCCTTTTACAGGTCTGAATAGCTCCAGGCTGAGTATTTATTGGAGGTATAGTTGATACTGGATCAATTCTCCTATCTCCCTTGGCAGCCCTGACCTTTGGACCACCACGGGTGTGGATTACAGACTACAACTCAAATGGCCATTAGTAAAATACAAACATAGGTGGCACATTTCCAACGCCAAGTGGCATCACAGTCAAACCTGATTACATCTTTAGTCAAGATTCACACAAATATAATGCAAACAGATCTGGCGACAGAACACAAATGGAAACCTCAGCCATCTGTCTGTCCCGTCACCCAGTCAGGGTGGAGCGGACTGTCATATTTTTAAACAATGTGTTGACATTAGCTGACATTAACTACTTCACCAGAAAAAGAAGATAACCATAGAATCATAGACCACACAGGAGGTGTCATTTGGTTCATCATGCCGAGGCCAGTTTTGTGAAAGAACTATCCAACCCTGTATTGTCCTACGTTCCATATTGCTGCACATTTTCAGGTTCATATCAAATTACCTTCTGTAAGTTACAATTGAACCTGCTTTCATCATCCTTTTGAGGAACATATTCCAGACCACAACAACTAGCTAATTAAACAGAGATAGCAAGAACTGCCAATGCTGGAGTCAGAGTTAACACAGTGTGGAGCTGGACGAACACAGCTGGCCAGGCAGCATCAGAGGAGCAGGAAAGTTGACGTTTCGGGTCGGGACCCTTAGCTCAGAAATGAAGAGAGAGAGGAGGGGTGCGACTGGATAAGGTAGGTGGGAAGGTGATAGGTGAATGCAGGTAGGGAGTGGTAGGGATTGGTCAGTGGGATGGGAGGGGTGGATAGGTGAGAGCGAGGATGGACAGGTTGTGTCAGGGCAAGGAGGCAGGGATAAGCGGGAGGCTGGGACATGGGATGAGGCTGGGGGTGGGGAGATTTTAAAACTGGTGAATTCCATGTTTAGGCCATTGGCCCAGAATGACCGTGTCACCCAGGGAGTGGGAGGGGGAGTTAAAATGGTTTGCAACCAGAAGGTGTTGCCATTTGTCGCGTACAGAACACAGATGCTCTACAAAATGGTCTCCGAATCTACGCTTGGTCTCACCAATGTAGAGGAGGCACATAGTGAGCAGCGGATACAGTAAACCAAGTTGATGGACATGCAGGTGAACCCATATCTGATATGGAGGGTTTGTTTTGTGTCTTGAATGGAGGGGAGTGGGGAGGTGTAGGGGCAGGTGTAGCACTTCCTGCGGTTGTAGGGAAAGGTGCCAGGGGTAGTGGGGAGTGTGAAGCGGACGAGGGAGTTGCAGAGAGAGCGGTCTCTCTGGAAGGCAGATAGGGGTGTGGAGGGAAATATCTCTTTGGCTGAAGGGTTGGATTGTAAGTAGTGGAAGTGGCGGAGAATGATATGTTGGATGCGGAGATTGGTGGGGTGATATGTTTGGGCATTAGTTAAACAAATCCCTCCAACCTTTGCTAATTACCTTAAATCTAAATCCATTCATTCAACTTTTTGACTGGCTCAGGTACTCAATATAAAAACCAGCTGTATCCCCAGTCTTCCAACTGGGAAACAAAATGTTGGATGAAGTAAATAAAAACCAAATATCTTATCTTGACTGTGAATAAGCTATGACACATTACAATTGATAAACAATGGAATTGGCTATTGACTCATCATTTTCTTACCCAACAAAGTTGCAATCAGTGCAGAGTCTATTCCATCAATAGGTTCACAGATTCGAGCCACGACTGGATGCACTTGCTGCGAGAGGTAATATTGTGTGTCAATGGACAAGGTTTCCTGTTTTTGCAGCTGCTCTGGTGCATAGGCTCGCTGGCTAGCACCAAGGTTTGAGCCATCCTATAGAATCACAAGAAACATTAAGTTACATACATTATTAGACAAGGGACAACAAATCAATTAAAGTCGGAGAATATAAAAGGGAATATTCATAAATACTGAATGAACAATTTATCCTAAAACTTAAAATGTACAAAGTCCTTAAGCATGCTTTTTGCAAACAGAATCTGTTCACTCTAACTCCGCTATTCTGAAAAATAAGCTAAGATATACACCAATTTGCAGTTTAAGGTTAACTTTTGTTTTCACAGTAGGTGCAGTTTTGTGGTTATCAACAAATTGTCTTTCTCTTGCAATCTAAGTACATCTAACATGCATATCACTTGACAAATTAATTAGGTTCTTCAGTACTTTCTAAAATGTAATATAATTAATATTTCTTGGAAGTACAATAGTACTCAATAATGCTCCTGGACTCTAGTAAATTTTTGAGGCATCAATACTCAAATTTTCTGAGTATAATTTCTCCAAAATCCACTCACTGGGAGAGGAAAATCAGTTTTAGCTGGAGACCAGTTACTCAGTATTGCAACTGCAACTCCTGATGAAACTTCAAGGCTCAAACCGAGTCAACATACAGCTGACAGCACATTCATTAGGACAGGGTTTTGGCTCATCTTTTTCCCCAAGTTCTTACTTGACAAATGATATAAGAGACAGTGTCCCCAGCTTTCACTTTCCGTCCACTTTGGGAATTTATCCACAAGGCAACATGGACGTGAGGCAGGCTTTTTTTATCTGGGTAATCTTGAGGATCCTTTGTCAAAGCCTGCAGCAATAAAACAAACACAAGTAAAATCAGAACTTTAATTTATTCCACCAATAATGTACAAACAAAAGGGGAAGAGACACACCCACAGAAGCCCAAATTCCCAGTTTATAAACACACTATTTGTCTTTTGCTACCAATTCTCTCTTCTAATATTACGTTAATATCTTATACTTGTTTGTCACTGCCTGCTTACCACAATACTTGCATAAACAATGTTGAGTTAGACAACCAGTTCGACACTACTGAAAACAGAGTAATCCAGTCATACAGCATGGAACCAAACCCTTCGGTCCAACTAGTCCATGCTCCCAAAAGACACTAGGCCCATACCCCTCCAAATCTTTCCTGTTCATGTACTGATCCAAATGTCTTTTAAATGTTGTAACTGCACCTGCATCCATCACTTCCTCTGGTAGTTCATTCCACACATGAAACACCATTAAAAAGGTGCCTTCATGTCCTTTTTAAAACTTTCTCCTCTCACCTTAAAAATATACCTCCGGTTTTGAACTCCCCGAACCAAGGGAAAAGAACCTTGCTACTCACTTTATCTATGCCCCTTGTGATTTCATAAACCTCCAATAAGGTCATCCCTCAACCTCCTACACTGCAGTGAAAAAAATACCAGCCTATTTTTATAACTCATATACTCCCTTCCCAGCAACATCCTGGTAAATCTTTTCTGAACTCTCTCCAACTTAATAATTTTCTTCCTATAGCAGGACAACCAGAACTGCACACAGTACTCTAGAAATGGCCTCACAAATGTCCTGTATAACCTCAACATGACATCCCAACTCCTATGCTGAAAGATCTGAACAATGAAGACAAGTGTGCTAAACACCTTCTTAGCCACCTCTGTCTCCATGTGAATCAAACTTCAAAGAATTATGTATCTGAAGCTTTAGGTCTCTGTACTACAACACTACTCAGGGTCCTACCATTAATTGCACAAGTCCTGCCCTTGTTTGTTTTACCAAAATGCAATACCTCAATTATCCAAATTAAATTCCATCTACCACTCCTCAGCCCATTGACCCAATTGATCTTTGTAATCTTAGATAACCTTTAGGTAGCCTTCTTCACTGTCTACTATACCACCAATTTTGATTCTCCACATTCACATCAATGTTTAACTATGCCATTGGCATACAAGCCTTAATTAAATTGAACGTAGCCAAATGGTGACAGGACTATGCTATCCAACTTCTTGCTGATACCAAGTCATTTAAAAAGTAAGCTTAGAAAGTGCACACAAAGGACTACTTGGGGACTATTTAGAAATGAGTTTTACATTCTGTACATATAATAGATTACAGTTGATGGGAAGCAAAGTGTTCCGAGTTGACAACTTCATTACTAAAAGAAACCGTACGCCACTGACCAGAGTTCAATTTGCTTTTAGCCAACACAATGCAAAAAAATGCATATCTACTGATCGCCCGACAATTTCCACTGACGACTTCTCTTCCTACCACTTCAACGCAGGAGACCGCACTGATCTACCCATTATCCCCCTTCTATACATTAATGTTTATGCTATTGTTTAATGACTACTGAACACACTCTTATACACCTTTCATTGCTAGTTTAAATCCTTAAATATATATCTCTGCAATTTCCTCTAGTCATACCACAAGTCACCCAAACATGCATGCAATCTCTCTGCTCCTTTGATCCTGACCTTGTGCATTCACTATTATTTCAACAAGCTGTTGGCTATGCCTTTAATCTATACAAATATAATGGTAGACGTCATCTCCAATATAAAAATTTTTTGCAATGTACTTGCTGCCAAGTCACTTTGTCTAAATATGAAAGCTGCAGGTCAAAACGATGATGAGAAATAATATTGATGTTGTTTGGTTGAGGGTGAAATTAAATAAAATCATTCCCTGGAATGAAAAAGTAAAAGGGTCAGCATGTAAGTATCAATATAAATACTCACTACAAAACTTACTTTGCAGTTTTATCTCCAAAATAAACATCACCTGCATAAATAACCAGAATGCTTAAGTTCTAATTTTAATCTTTCTTCTAATGTCTGCATTGTCTATTGCTATATTTTTTTAAAGTTCAGGCTGTATTACATTCTACTGAAAGTCCCTGAAGAGCAACATCTGTGTGAAGTCACTGTCAGTAAGCTGTAAAACACTAGCTTCAGTTGATTTTATACCAAAATCACAGCTGAAGCTATTTTATTAAAAACAAGCTGTATTTAACCTCCCTGCAGACACTATACAAGTGTTGCCCATCTCCCAATGAACTCTCCCCATCAGCTCAATAACTTAAACCACAGCCTGTTAATCATAGATTGCTGCTGTGGACTCGTGCATCTGCAGACTTTCAACAAAATACAGGTTAAAAGTGCTTTATTGGTTAAACAAAACTGCAAATTGTATCCATCAGCCATTAGGAGCCATAATCACAACTACATGCTGGCCTGGGAATACCATAATTTATTCATATACACATAAGAAAACCGAAAATATGCAGTAAGTAAACTGACCACATTCTGTTTATTTGCACTATTTTACTACCTCACATTTTAAAAAGACAATAGATTTTAACCAAATTCCACTTGACTTTGGATTTCTCCTTGATAAATCAATCTGCTGACATGAGACTCACTTCCGGATTGCCCACAAAGGATTACAACTTAAAAATTTCCCAACAGCAGTTTAAAGTCTTGGCATTTGTTTCTGCCAGGCTGTGGGAAGCTTGCAGTGATGAGCTTCATATATTTGTGGAAATGTGAACCGATTTAATAATGAGTTTGTAGCTTAAGAGCCTGGAGCGGCGTATCAGTATTCATAAACAGCTGTGACTCCCATCAATCTCACCAAATCATTTTGTCCCTCTTAGAAAAATCAATAAGGCTCATTCTTGGTGAAGCACTTCTGTGTGCTTTGCATTTTCTTTTCATAATAGTGAACCAACCACTTTGTCAATAACTGACATCACCACTGAAATTTGCACTGTGCAGTCAGAAATTACAAGTTTTGTTTCACATTTTACGCTGAAGAACTTCTGTTATTCCAAGACCAAATTTTAAATAAATACTTATTTCAGTTTGCAAAATGTTTTGGGGTCAAAACATGCTCTGTGCTATATCCAACGACTGTACACTTTTCCTGAGTCAAATAAAGTTATTCATCTGCACTCCAGGACTGAAGGTATGTTTTTCAATTTAGCAAAGACCAAAGTGTGTGATATCTCGATCTGAGAGTTGCTATTTAGTGATGATGTCACACTGATATTCCATACTGAAGTTCACTTGTAGCAGGGTGCAGGTCTGTTCTCCCAGGCCTGCAAAGAGTGTGGACTAACAATCAGCATCAGGGAGGCCAAAGTTAGGGGCCAGAAAGCAGAGACTCTACTGCGCACCAAATCAATATTAACAACTTCATTCAAATGGTCGTTGAAAGCTTCACATTATCTTAGCTCAACAGGTACCAGCAGACTAACCTTTGATGCCAAATTCAGTACTAGGATTTCTAAGGGTGCAGATGTAACGTCAAAATTGAGAAATTACATGAGGGCCAACAACAACTAGCTGAAAATACAAGGCCTAGTGTGTACCCGGTTTTTGTTCTCAGCACCCTCCTTTACAGTAGCAAAGCATGGCCAATTCATGTAAACAAAGTAAAGCAGCTGAACAGCTTCCAACTTCACAGCCTCAGGTGAAAACTGGACATCCCCTGGAGGACAACAAAGTGCTGAATTGATGCAAATACATCAGCCTGCAGGAATTCTCAATATGTTCATCCTTTGACTAAGGAGGCAGTGCTGGGAAAGCTAATGGGGCTAAAGGTAGACAAGTCTCCTGGCTCTGATGAAATGCATCCCAGGGTACTAAAAAAGGTGATGGGGAAAATAGCAAATGCACTAGTAATTATTTACCAAAATTCACTGGACTCTGGGGTGGTTCCCACTGATTGGAAAACAGCCAATGTGACGCCACTGTTTAAAAAAGGAAGTTGACAAAAAGCAGGTAACTACAGGCCACTTAGCTTAACTTCGGTAGTGGGGAAAATGCTTGAGTCTATCATTAAGGAAGAAATAGCAAGACATCTGGATATAAATTGTCCCATTGGGAACACCCAGCATGGGTTCATGAAGGGTAGGTCATGTTTAACTAATTTGGTGGAATTCTTTGAGGACATTACTTGCACGGTGGACAATGGGGAACCTGTGGATGTGGTGTATCTGGATTTCCAGAAGGCATTTGACAAGGTGCCACACCAAAGGCTGCTACATAAGATAAAGTTGCACGGTATTACATGTAATGTATTGGCATGGATAGAGGATTGGTTGACCAGTAGAAAGCAAAGAGTAGGGGTAAATGGGTGTTTTTCTGGTTGGCGGTCAGTGGCTAGTGGTGTGCCTCAGGGATCAGTGTTGGGACCACAATTGTTTACAATTTACATAGATGATTTGGTGTTGGGGACTAAGTGTGGTGTGTCAAAATTTGCAGATGACACTAAGGTGAGTGGTAGAGCAAAGTGTGCAGAAGATGCTGAAAGTCTGCAGAGGGATATAGATAGTCTAAGTGAGTGGGCAAAGGTCTGGCAGATGGAGTACAATGTTGATAAGTGTGAGGTCATCCATTTTGGTAGGAATAACAGCAAAATGGACAATGTTTTAAATTATAAAAAATTGCAGCACACTGCTGTGCAGAGGGACTTGGGTGTCCTTGTGCATGAATCGCTAAAAGTAGGATTGCAGGTGCAGCAGGTAATTAAAAAGGCAAATGGAATTTTGTCTGTCATTGCTAGAGGGATGGAGTTTAAAAACAGGGAGGCTATGCTGCAGCTGTATAGGGTCCTGGTGAGGCCACATCTGGCGTACTGTGTGCAGTTTCGGTCTCCTTACTTGAGAAGAAATATACGAGCACTGGAGGGGGTGCAAAGGAGATTCACTCGGTTGATTCCAGAGTTGAGAGGGTTGGATTATGAGGAGAGACTGAGTAGACTGGGATTATACTCATTGGAATTCAGAAGAATGAGGGGAGATCTTATAGAAACATATAAGATTATGAAGGGAATAGATAAAGTGGAGGCAGGGAGGTTGTTTCCGCTAGCAGGTGAAACTAGGACTAGAGGGCATCGCCTCAAAATAAAGGGAAACAGATGTAGGACTGAGGTCAGGAGGAACTTCTTCACCCAAAGGGTTGTGAATCTGTGAAATTCCCTGCCCAGTGAAGCGGTTGAAGCTACCTCACTGAATGTTTTTAAGGCAAGGCTAGATAAATTTTTGAACAGTAAAGGAATTAAGGGTTATGGTGAGCAGGCAGGTAAGTGGAGCTGAGTCTCAAAAAGATCAGCCGTGATCTTATTGAATGGCAGGGCAGGCTCAAGGGGCCAGACGGCCTACTTCTGCTCCTAGTTCTTAAGTTCTTATGTTCAGTCAGCATTAACTCGATGTTGGATCACGGCAGCTGAGTGGTCATGGCTGCATTCCTAAAGCCATGCTCTGTGGGGAGCCTGCTGTCCCCTTTTTGTGTGATAAAAGGATGCCTGCAACTGAGACTCCAAGGTGACCGGGATCAGTCGAAGCAAGGGAAGTCTCAGCTGTTGACTAGATTGCACGGAGACAAAAAAAAAAAAAATCGGTCAGGAAGGATGTGGAAAATGCAGGGGATTAAAGGTATCATCATATGGCAGAAAAGAAAGCTCACCAAATGGAAAACAAAAACCTCAAGCAATCTCGCGTCAACACTACTATCTGTACCAGCTCCTGAAAGGACTGCCCTTTATGGATTAGCCTCAACAACTACAATACGATGTTCAATCACATAGATGCTGAGCACTGTAATGCTTTGGTGATACAGACTTGATGGGCTGAAGAATCTCTTCTATACTGTGTGATTTTATGACACAATCCTTGGTCTTCTGAGATGAACGTATACTATCATCACAGGCACTTACTTCCCTGTTTTCAAAATGATTAGGATTCAAACTATGCTTTAGAATTATATCAGTAAGATTTGTCTTCAGTTATATTTCTTTGTAGCTTTTGCAATGTTGAATGTTTTGCATTGACACCTGAAACTGGTTTACAATGGTCACCTGGATTGTGAAAAATTAAACATCCATAAAACATCTGATTTTGAAACAACTGTCCGATGGGTTAATTTAAATCTGAGACCAAACAATGTTGTTTTAGTGGAGGTACCTATAAGTCATTGCATGTTTTGAAGTAACAGGAATCCAGAGTACTCGGTCCTAAACAATATTTACGCATTGGAGTTTCCTGGGAATCTTGAAAGGCTACATCTTTTTAATGTTTGAAGCAGGCAGACCACCCATAACTCCATGCTCATACGATTTCAAAACGTTAGCTGTGTGCAGAATGTGCATCAGCTAGTGCACACAGGGCTCCATTCTTGCCCAGAATATCAGATGTGGCACCTATTTCATTATAATTTTCTCCACTGCAAAAAACGTTGACCACCACTGAAAATTGGTCATACTGGAATACTTCATATTCCACTCTAGCTGCTTTATTAATCATTCAATGGCAATATGATATTGACATATCCTGCAAACATATGCCAATCACCATGTGATCCATCCTGTAAGGCAAAAGGTTTTTAATATTGAGGTTCTTCAATGACCTATAGTTAAGTCTCATTGAAGCCCAGGTTGATTTGGAGCAGCATACAATGCCCAGACAGGGAGAACATGCATAATTTACTGAAATTTGCAAATGAATATAAGCAGGGAGAATAACATAATACTTAATGTCAAATGTAACAGAAACCATATGCAGTGAGAAAAGGAAGGAAAATCAAAACTGAAAACGAAGAGAGGAGGCAGAAGGATCTGCAGATAAGTGAGGATTAAAGGGGGCTGCACATTTAGGAATTTCGGAAAGGAATGGGAGAGAAGAAATGGTAGTTTGCAAGGACCAACTTGAAACTTACAGTTCCCAAAGAGCCACAAGATAAAGCAGTATCAGAAGTCCATTTCATGGGCTCCATCTCTGGAACTGAATTCCAAGATTGCTTTCTGTGTTACATTCTACTTTTGGTAGCTATTCTTTCTCTAATGTAAACATACTAAACATAAATAACAAAAGAATAGGGACACTGCGTATTTCATTTCCATGTCAGAGCACTGCTAGCATATCCATGCATTACAAAATTTCTTCAACCACTGTAACGAGAACCCAAGGGTGTGAATAAAACAAACACGGCTACTTTCATTTGAGGTTGCTTTTGATTTTCAACGTTACACCCAAGTAGACATTCGATTGCCATACAAAACCAATGGACAAGTACAAACATTGTACAATAACTGTTTTACAGAGCTACATATGAATTTCAGAAAATTTTTTGAGTGCAACAGGATTGTATGACACTCAAAGCTCAGAAGAAATATTTGCTAAGCTTTGCAGTTCTGGATTCCTCATCATCAGAAACATGTTTTGACTGCAGCAGAAGCAGCATTACATCTGTAATAAGAATAATAGAAACTCAAAACATAGTTGTGTAGTATCACCTAACTTTAGTGTAACATGATCCTTCAGACAAACTAGAAATTAAGCAATATAATTGCATGGTGGGATTCTAATAACCCAACTATCCAGGAAATTGCATAATATTTTTCTTAAAAAAATTACTAAAACACAGGAGAACTCAAGGTACAGTACCTTGTTAATTTCAAACTGACTTATGGGTACACTACCATTCACAACACTCTCCTGGATCTCAGTTAGTTTATTTTGGATATTTTCCACTATTGTGTCCCGGGGTTGATCCGACAGAATCTGACTGATAACATAACTACAAACAAAAAGAAATAAACATTCGGTTAACACAGGCATTTTTAAACATATTTATAAAGAAGCCAAATATTTTGGAATAAAGCTTACTTTTCAAAAAGATGACGAATAATCTCGTACCTTGGAGCACCAAAAAAGTCCTCAGCCCGTCCCTCCACAACCCCACAATGAATTACCCTTAGCGGATATTGAACGGAGAAAAAAAAAGTCTCATTTTTATAACCTCTTGCACAATCTCAAGATGTCCAAAAACACTTTCCAGCCAATTTCTCAGGCTAGTAATCCAGAAACCCAGAGTAACGTTCTAGGAACACAGGTTTAAATCCCACAATGGCATATGGTGAAATCTGAATTCAATAAAAAGTTTGGAATAAAAGGTTGGTCTAATAGTGATCACTGTTATTAAAAAAAATGCCAGGGAAGATAATCTACCAAACTTACTGGGTGGACCTACCTGCAACACCAAACCTAGAGAAAGTGGTTGACTCATAAGTGCCCTCTGGGCAATTTGGAGTGAGCATTAAATGCTAGTTTAGCCAGTAATGTTGATGTCCAATGAATTTAAAAAACAGATACAAAATTATATGCCCTTGTCTGGTGAGTCTAGAACTAGGGAGTGTAGACTCAGAACAAGAGGCAAGCCATTTAGGACTGAGATGAAAAGGAATTGGGGTAGTGAATCTTTAGAATACTCTCCCAGAGGACTATGAAAACATGGTCAATAGATTTTGGAGACTAATGACATTAAGGGATGTGGAAATAGAGCAGGAATGAGTCATAGAGGTGGACAAACAGCCACGATCCAACTGAATGGTTTACTCCTTCTCATGCATTCCTAAATAATAGGAGACATGTATATAAAAATCACAGAAAAAGGTTTTTATTTAAACCAATTACTTTCCAATTTCCTTTGCTAGGCCACACCAGTCACGCCGAACAATATCCAGCCCTTTTAGTTCCTGTTTGGTGACATAGCGTCCATCTGCAGTTGGTTCTACCACAAGGGCAGCATATTTCTTCTTCTTCAGCAACAGTAATGATTTAAACACCCCATCAATGTCCAGCTCAAGGAGCTTGTACTGTTTGTTTACTTCACTCTTGACCTGTAGAAACACGAACAGATGGGTAAGTTTCCACATCATCTCGTGAGGTCTGCTTCTCTAAAATGCAGAACTAGAGAATGAGAATAGTACAAGAATAATTTAGTTTCTCAATGGCGATTTTCACGTCAATGAAAATATCACGCACAAAGGAACGATCACCACCTCGAAACCACAACAGACTGTGTCAGCACTTTAAACCCAATTTAAGCATGTCTAAAAACTGTAGTGCCCCAGATGAGATGAAAATTCTCCACTCTTTCACAAGCAGCTAATGACACCTGAAACATAGCGCAGATTGCCCTTCCTCTTGGATAAAAGCAGTTTTCTAATTAATTTGGACAAATGGTTTTAATGTCCACAAATTAAATGAGAAATAAATGAATATTTATTGTTATAATATTGCAACTTCGCCCCCTACTGTTGCAACTGCTGGTGAGATCCTGTTCCAAGAGTATTAGCAGCCATTTAGCACCTCATCCGTTCATCAGATGTGAGCCTGTGAATCTGAATAATGAAAGTTATGCGGCCAATTTGTCTCTAAAAGGTACCATTAGCTGGAATAAACTTCATTGTTGTCAAATATCTAGAAATCCAAACAGTCTATCCACAATAATTGAAATTATATGCAAGGCCTGATCGTTCAGGGGCCTGAAATATACTTCATTCTCTTAAATTGATTGAGATAAACTGCACAGCAAAAGCTGAGGCAGAAACCTGGGTGTAATGTATTTTGAAGAATAGCCAGGCTTTTTCTGTTGTACATTTGGATGCCATTTAAATACACTTTTTCTGCTGGTGTTCAATCCTTTCACATTTGCCAAAGTCATTGTATGGGGGGGCTTGAGGCAGTACTCACACAGATAAAGTCCCACCACACTGATTCAGAATTTAATCGCTATTTGCAAACTCAGTTAAAAGATGTGGATTTTCCAACTCAGGTGATTTCAGGCACCATTTAGACAGGCATAGAAGATTTCATCTACCCAAGATGGGATGGAAACAAATTCCTTAGGAATAAAGCTGGCAAGTCAGATAAATATCAAAAACAACTTGCATTTATATAATGCCTTTAATATTCTAAAACATTCCAAGGCACTTCACAGGAGTTTTATACTTCAGACAAATTCCAAACAACTACAATTCAGGTTCTGCAAAGTTTATAGACATGAGATAACTACACTTTCTCACAGGCGCACTGAAAGAAATTCCAATTAAATTGAAATGATCTATCTAGTTCAAGAGGATCAAAATTTTGAGTTTGTAATTCCATCTCTCGACAAATTTGATCAAAATATCATAAATACTTGAATGGCTAATTCCCAGAAACTTGATTTGAAAGATAAAAAAATGCTGTTTTCAGTATTTTATGTAGTTCAGATTATCCACATTATTAGTAATTTCTCCTTTCATCTTTATTATCTGATGGACAGTGAATAATGAAATTCTAGATCTCTTGCAGAACAGCATTGCTCTTGCAAAGTGACGTTAAACAGACAAGATTGACATTTCCATTATAATCAATTTATGCTCTGACCCAGTTACAGTAACAGCGAAGACAATGAAAGAAAGGTTCTACCAAAGCAGAATATAGTCATAAAGTATGCAGCTAGGGCTCAGCCTACATTCCTAATAAATGAGCAAACTGCTTTTACAATAGAGCAAGAGAAGCATCTGTAGCAATGTGTCTGTGTCGAATCAGCTGAACAGTAAATTCCTTCTGGATAGAAAGGATTATAATAACTAAAATAAACACAAGTTACTTGGTTGCAACCAGGTGTTTTGATGATGATTGTCACAGTTAAAGTTGAATCGAACTATCAGCATATTTCACCAAGGTAAATGTGATTAAATTTATATGCAAAATTCAAGTGAAAGCTAAGCAAATGATACCTAAGGTGTTCAAATCTTTACTAAGCTAAAAATAAATCTATTTATAGAACACTATACAGTACAATTGTTTTCAATGGCATTGACAGCTTGTTTATGGACCCTATTAATGACATCAACTCTTTAATCTGTTACATCACCTTGTTTCCAAGTTTAAAGACCTCCTCCAGATTTGTACTGTTGGTATTAATCATGATAGAATCAGTGTCTCCGTAAATAACTTCCAGGTTCATCTAAAACAAAATAAAATGCCAACTGTAAGAATCAAGGAAATTAATTTTGCACAGACGCTATTGGCAGGCTAGTTAAAATTTGATCATTCTGGGTACATTGAGATTTGTAAGCCACAAATAGAGATCCAGTTAACTGTCTTGCAGATGAGATAAGATACAATTCCGTCTGTCAGTTAGCAAATCGAAATTGCATCTCTCAACAACACCACTAAAAATGGTTTAAGTTAATCTTTTCATGACTGCTTGTGGGGCACTGCTGTATGAAAATTAACTGCCATATTTTTCTACACAACATCATTGGCCATTCTGAAAAACAATGTATTGGTAGTAAATCAGTTTGGGATGTCAACAAAACAACTTGTACTTACGTGGCATCTTTATCATAGTAAAACATCCCAAAGCATCACACAGAAGTTTTGTCAAAGAAATCTGACATAGAGCCACAAAGATGGTATTTTAGTAATTTATGACACAGAAAGCAGTGAGTCAGCCTGTTTAGTCCATGCCAGCTCTCCACAGAGCATTCTAGTCAGCTCTATTCTCCTGCTTAATACCCACAGCTAAAAGCTAACACCTAATCTCTTTCCGAAATTGACTATTCTTTGCACTGCCATACTTGGGGGAAGCAAGTTTCAGGTTATTTCCACTTGCTCTGCAAAAAAGCTACTCCTCCTACATTTTTATCTAAAACATTTTATATCAACTAAGGTTTATATGATCCTCTAATGGGAACAGTTTTTCCTTTACTACCTTATGCAAGCCTGTCATAATCTTGTACAACTCCATCGAATTTGTTTTGAATCTCCTTCATTCCAAGGAGAACAAGCTCAGCTTGCCAATCCAGCCTTGAAACTAAAATTCCCCATGCCTGCAAATATCTGGCAAATTTCCTCTACGTCCTCCTCAGGACTTCTGCATTTGTTTTAAAGGATAGTGACCAGAACTAGACACAATGCTTTATATCATAGAATCCATAGAATCATAGAATCCCTACAGTGTGGAAACAGGCCCTTCAGCCCAACAAGTCCACACCGACCCTCAGAGCATCCACCCAGACCCATCCCCCTATAACCCACCTAATCTACATATCCCTGAACACTACGGGCAATTTAGCATGGCGAATCCACCTAATCTGCACATCTTTGGACTGTGGGAGGAAACCGGAGCATCCGGAGGAAATCCACGTAGACACGGGGAGAATGTGCAAACTCCACACAGACAGTTGCCCGAGGCTGGAACTGAACCTGGGTCCCTGGCACTGTGAGGCAGCAGTGCTAACCACTGAGTCACTGTGCTTTACTGCAGGCCTAATTAGAGATTTATAAGGGTTCAGCATTATGTACCTGCTTCTGTACTCAGTGCGTCTATTTATTAAAACTGTAATGACCACAGTTGAATTGGCTCCCCTCTATTCTTTTTTTAAACTCTCAATCAGTTGTTGCAAACATTTTATTTCTTTTTAGCACACAATATCGTGCTTTAATTAAAATATAGCTCACTTGGTCAAATGAAGGAGACAATATAAGGTTTTCTTGAATGAAACAAAGAACAAACCTTGATATTCTAAGAGCAACATAAAACACAAACATATGCATAAGAAAGAGAGAATGAGAGAATTCAAGCCTTTGCTCTCCCTCTCTGCTCCTCTGTCAAGCAAGCACTGAAAAATGATTCATTTTTGTATTTTTGAGCTGGATAGTTAAGGGCAACTCTTCATATCCAATATGTTCAACTTATTAGATTAGTGCAAACTGAAACAGCAGATGAAAGTTTCTTGAGTCTGGGATCAGTCGACTTAGATAAAATGGTAGTTTCAGTTCAGATGGGTTTGTTTCCTGAACGTGCCTCAATCTGTGGTCAGGTGATCACTGCAGCCATTTTATATTCATGGTCCCTCTTTGTTAAAACTGTTTCAGTTCATGAAGGTCTCCAGTACTAAAACCAGATGATGGAAGTTTAAAACTGATAGTATTTTATCAAAGGCCCAAGGTTTCATATGAAAACAACAAATGCTGGAGATCACAGCAGGTCAGACAGCATCCATTGAGAGACAGCAAGCTAACGTTTCACATCTAGATGACTCTTCATCAGAGCACAGGGCCCAAGGTCTCATATGCTTTTCTAATTATACTCTCAACAAGTCCTCTGACTTTCTAAAATTGATGCACATACAGCACAGGATTCCTTTGTTCCTACATGTTCTTTTGAAGCATATCTTGATATGTTTTACCTGCTCATGTTGCAGGCAACTCACTGTATAGCACACCTCCAAATTTTGGTACCTCTGGCAACTTTGGAATTTCGACTCTGTATTTCAAGATCCAAGCCCTTCACTTATAGGAAAAAGATCAGTTTTCTGAACATTGCAGGTCCTTGCACTGACCCTTAAGGTAGTCACAGTCTACCATTCAAAAACTAATCTCTGCTTTTGTCCTTTGGCCAATTTTTAATTCCAATTAGACAGCGCCCCTCCTCTTCCATAAAACTCAGTTTTGATAACAAGCTTTTATGTAGTACTTTGTCAAAAGCTTCTTAAAATCCACTTGGATAACCTCTATTGTATTTCCTTCATCAAGTATCTCTGATAATTCATCAAAAAATTCAAGAAGATTAATCAAGTCTGATTTGACTTTTACAAATCTGTACTATCGCTAATTAACTCAAACCTGCCAAAGTGTGTGCTGATTATTACCCATGATTATTGTTTCTAAAACCTTAAACATCAACAATGTTAAACTGACAGGCTTATAGACATTACAACAGTTCTGACATGCTTCTTGAATAAAGGTGTCACATTTGCTACTCTACACCTGGATAAACTGGATACTGCAAATGCTAGGGGCCCTGACAACATACTGGCAATAGTACTGAAAATCTGTGCTCCAAAACTTACTGAGCTCCTTGTCAAGCATATCCCCGACCATAGCTACCATACAGACATATCCCCGACAATGTGGTATGTCCTGTGTACAAAAAGCATGACAAATGCAAGCTGGCCAATTAACACCCTTCAATCTAATCTCAATCAACAGAAAGTGATGGCAGGGGTCACCAACAGTGCTATCAAGTAGCTTAACCTGCCTCTGGAGCTTAGTTTGGGTTCAACCAAGGACGCTCTGCTCCTGACCTCATTGTTGTTTTGGTTCAAACATGGACCAAAAGAGCTGAATTCCAGAGCGGAGGCTACATGAGCGGCCTTTTACATCAAACTGCATTTGACCAAGTGTGGCATCAAGGGGCTCTAGCAAAACTGGAATCAATGGGCATTGAGGGAAAGCTTGCACTAATACCTGACTCATAGGAGGAATGAAGGTAGATGATTGTGGTTGACAGAAGTAAGTCATCTCAGTCTCAGAACATCCCTGCAGGAGTTCCTCACAGTGGTGTCCTAAGCCCAACCATCTTCAGCTGCTTTGTAATGACCTTCTCTCCATCACACGGTCAAAAGTGGGATGTTCACCGATGATAGTACAATGATCAGCACCATTTGCAATCCCTCAGATACTGAAGTATTCCATGGCCAAATGCTGCAAGACGTGGAGAATATCCAGGCTTACTTGGTAAGTTTGGCAAGTAACATTCATGGCACACAAGTGCTGGGCAATGATCATCTCCAATAAGAGAGAATCTAACTATCGCCCCATGACATTCAAGGGCATTACCATCACTGAATTCCTCACTATTGATATTCTGGGAGTTACTATTGGACAGAAATTGAACTGGACTGGCCATAAAAGTACTGTGGTTTCAAAAGCAGATCAGATGATAGGTGTCCTGCAGCAAGGAACTCACCTCCTGAACTTCCAAAGACTGTCCACCATCGACATGACACAGGTAAGGAGTGTGGAAAGTCGACATCTTGTCCTTTGGCTATTATTATCTTGATGCTTATAAGATAATTAGGCATAGGAGCAGAAGTTGGCCATTTGGCCCCAAGAGTCTGCTCTGCCATTCAAAGAAATCATGGCTGATCTGATAATTTCCAATTCCACTTTCTTGTCTTTTTTCTATAACTCTTGATTCCCTTACTCCATAAAACTTCTTATTCACGTCAATATATCTCAGAGCTTAACACTTCTACTGGCCTTCCTCTAGGGTCCACCTCTGTGAAACTGCTCTTGCATAGTTCAATTCCATCCCCTCTCAACATAGCCTGTACATCCCTAGCAATGGTTTCTCTTCCCAGCATGAACGGTCTCTTCCAAAGTTTCTCAAAGATTCATCTGGTGTTGCTCATTCATATTATGTGTGCTGTCCCTTTATTATATCATTTAGGTGGAGTCCCAGCCTGTTTAGCTTTTTCTCATGAAACAATTCCTCCATGCCAGAGATCATACTAGTGAACCTGCTATGAATCGCCTCCAATGAAATAATATCTCACCTTAAATAAGGGGATCAAAACTGCTCACAATAGTCCAGGCATGATCTCACTAGCACCTTGTACAGTTGCAGTGAGACTTCCCTACTCCTATACTCCAATCCCATTGAAATAAGGGACACCATTCCATTAGCCTTCCTGATTCCCAACTGCATGTGTGTTAGTTTACGGTGTTTTGTACACAAGTACCCCTAAATCCCTTAGTGTTGCAGCTTTCTATAGTTTTTCTCCATTTAAATAACACCATTCTTTTGTTTCCCTCCCAAAATGAACATCTTCACATTTTCCCAAATTATATTCTATTTGCCAACTTTTTGCCCATTTATTTAAGTTATCAATATCTTTCTTGGGTAGAATTACGCAGATTGTGATCGTAACTCCGTTAGATTCAAGACTGTCCTTTTCCATAACAATGATGTCAAATACTACAGGGCAAAGGTTTAGGTGAGAGGGGAAATGTTGAGGAGATGTGTGAGGAAAGTTTTTTTTAACACAGAGGACGGAAGGTGCTTGGAACATGTTGCCAGGCGAGGTGGCAGAAGGAAGTACGATAGCAATGTTTAAGGGGCATTTAGACAGACGGATGAACAGGCAGGGAATAGAGGGATAAGGACTATGAATCCCGAGTGTCTATACATTCAGAATGGCATCATGGTCAGCACAGATATGGGAGGCCAAAGAACCTGTCCCTGAGCTGTAAGTATAGGGAGCTTCAACCTACACCTGATATCAGTCTCTACTTGACAGGCACAATGATCTGCACGGACAGCATTGCTAATGCAATATAAGTATCCACAGAACTCAATTTGTATCCCACAGGATCACTGCAAGCAGGCACAGAGAAATCGTTTTGATCTTCCCAATTCCTTAAATTTTAGAATATTACACTTTGGACATTATAGAAAATGCAGGTGGTGCTGTTTCCATGTATCTGCTGCCCTTGTTCTTCAAGATGGAAGTCGTCATAGACTTGGGAGGTGCTTTGATGGGGAATATTTCATCACACTGTAACTACCATCAATCCAGTCTTTCCTATATTAACATATGTAGGACAAGCAGAATGAAGTTTTAGATCCCACTTTCTAACCCAATGCACAATTCTATTTCATTACAGTTAAGTCTATCAGTTGGAAGCCTCAGCAGCATTAAATTCTGGTTTCACAGGTTGTCCATGGACATTATGAAAATTCCATCAGCAAAGTTCTAAAGAGTGATGTTGATAGAAGAGTTTGTAAATGAGGAAGCAAAACATGTTCCAGGAATCAACAAATATGACAGGTTGGTCATGTTTCTGTCTTTTCATTGCAATTCAACTCGTGTGTAAGCGAATTAAAACTACTTATTTCCCTCTTCTTAACATCAACGGTCTGCACAAAACTTTCTATTCTTCCAAAGGTTATGTTTTCATTTTAGATGGAAAAAATCAAAACTTTATAGTCCAAATTAAACAGATTTATCTAAAGGACCTTTGGAATCGAAATACAAGTTCATTTGACTAAAAGCCCATGACCGTACTAAATCAACATATTCTTTTTTTGAGCTTTCTTCATATTAGTCATAACACAGTGGTCATTTTCAAACAATTGGCAATTTTACTTTTTCAAGGATTACCCAGATTATGTGCATATACTGATGTACACAGACTATGTACACACCCAGTGTATTCTTGTTTATGCAATGTGCGTAACTTTTTATTTAATTTGCTTTATTTTGTCTTGAATAAAGACCATAATAAGAATAAAAATTTTTTTAACAATTCCCATTAAATCATGTATCACCCTTTGTTTGCTCAGTAAAGTGACATGTCATTATTACAAAATACCTGTAAAATGGGGATTAGGAATTATATTCAGCAGGTTCCCACGTGTTACTGTTAGAATGGGAAAGGCAATCTGAGCAGGCTTTAATTTTTGGTTACTCAAAATAAACCAAAAATTAAAACCATTGCAAATCTGCTGCTAATAGCATACAAAAGAAAAGTGGTAAACACAGCATTAGCACAAAGCACTCAAAGGAGGCAGCTCCTAAGGGAGAAGTGCTTCTAGTCACAAGGTTCACATATGTGGGGAACAACACAATTTATCACATCCAACATATGAAAAACATTACTTTAATTAACACAAATCACTTATTCCTGATTAAACTCTTGAATATAAATGAGCTTTGTTGCTATTAGAAGTGGAGTTGAAAGCTCCTGATGCTTGTTCTGTTTAGTACCTTTACGTATACTAATAGTAATGTGGATAAATTACCTTCTGGACCATCTCTTTGGTATGCATGAGAATCTGAAATAAAAGAACAATATTGCATATGAATAACTTCCAAGCACTGGAATGAGGTACATGTCCCCTCGAGAAAAACACACAGGAACATATTGCTGACAGCACCAGGATGTAATTCACCCTTTCAGCTCAAGTGGGAAGCAACAAGTTCACATCTGAGTGAACTTGAATTTGTAGAAGTAAGCTAATTTGTTCCTAACTTTTGAATGAACAAACAAGCTGAATTATTCAAAGCAACATTTTTAAAAGTGAAGCCCATTGAAATTAAAATGAACTTGAGCCAATGCAGGTCCATAGCAGTAATATCGCAATGTTAACCTCCTGCAATGAAATGAGCTGTTGTTATATTTGCTAAATCATTAGCATTATGAGTATAGTGACAGAGTAACACAACATTTCTGCAGTTTGGACAATGCAACACAGCAACAGCTTATTTCCATACTATTGCTCTCAAACTCCTATTCTCATTTCAACTACGTTCTCAATTACAAGCTCCTTAAATAGAGGGACCCAAGATCAGTTGTTTGCTCGGTAAGCAACTTGAAACTGAGTAATGCAGAATAAATTTAATTTGTAGTTTGCACTGGGCTAACTGATATCGGGTTGGCAAACAGGAAAGGAAAGGGGAAGACAAGCCACAGCTCCTAAGCAGTACTGAATAATACACACTTAATAAACACTAAAGAATGAAAAATAAAACTGTTTGCAACTGCCTGATCACGGGTTCTAGAATCACCTGATCTTTCCTCGTGAAGGGTAAGATGGCGATACTCTCTACACAATGAGCTATTACTCATCTAAATGCCTCAAAATGATCTGGTAGCTCATTTTAAGAAAAGTCCATGAAGACTGTCATACACATGGCCACGATGAGTACAGGGAATAGAACGAGAGCGGAATACGGCTGTCCCACCTTCTTTACCATAGCACATTAAATGGCCTGATTAAGGGAGACTTCAATAGTCTTTTTGTTGGAGGCACAAGTGAAGATGGGAAAAGAAACAGACTGCACAAAACTGTCACAAAGGAGTGATTCTGAAAGCAAGCATGTAAAAGTCAGAGATTTTAAACTATGATGCTAAGTATTTGCAAACTTATCAAAAAATAGTTAGTTATACATTTTGTTCCGTTTCAAGTCACAATGCTGCAATATTAATGAAATTTGTTTTTGTCTCCAAAATGTACTTATGTTCATTTGTTTCTCATGTAATAGACATAACACAGAACCAACCATCTGACCATTAACATACATTTTTCAACCAGACAGCAGCAGTAGAAGTCAAATCAATGAATTGTTGAAAATGCTTTGATACAGATGAGGTATGGTTCAATGAATCACATAGAGACCAAATAAAAATCTAGTTCACAAACAATTCAAGTAGGAGTCTACAACATCATTCCTCATTTCTTTCTTTAAAAAAAAAAGAGAAACTCAGTGGTACAACAAATGGATTTATAAAATACTCCCCAAAGATTTGGTTGTATAGAGAAAGGCCACTGACAAGTACTGTTCAGAAAATGACGGGCAACCATTAATATAACACCTAGTGACAGACAAATCACTTCAAAGTGTCAAAAGCGAACAAACAGAATAGAGCTTCTAATTTAATTCTCATTAATTGCAGAGCCCACAGTGCTGAGATTAAACAACAACACCTGCAAGTCTTTGCCACTTATTAATTCCTTATGATATTTTAACATTGCTATTTCACAACACTAATTGGCCTGATAAACCCAACAAAATTCTGTTCAAAGAATGAGAAATGGTCCTGGATCTGTTAAGAACCAGTGTATTTGAAACAATGTTCCCCCTTTAATGTCAAACACATCAGGGAAGAGTTTAATAGGCAAATCTATGCAGTAATTCAACACTTATTACAAAATGCCAAAGTCATTTCCCTTCAGACTAATTGGCTGAGATGTAAGCATTATTGGACTGTAACTGCTTAAAAGCAATAATGAACTCCTCAATCCAAGTGTTGTCTGATTAGGAAAACCATAAATTAAGAGTCTTTTCTAAATAGATAATGTGGTTCAAGTGGAACTTGGGGGATTCCCAGCAATATATCTTTCAATTTCAACTTTAAAACCGGTGCTATAATGATATTTAGTTTGTTAGCTCAGCTATTCTTATTTTATTCTGAACTCTGAAGAAAGCTTCCATGCGTATTGGGAATAATTCAGCCTCTCTGGCTCCAATTACAACATTTAAACTGACAATGTGGATAAAAGCCCAAAACCAATAAAGCAAAACATTCTGTCTTGCTTCCTTTCCCAAACCATCTGTTTCTTTACATGATACATTGAACATATTTTACTGTGCAATTTGATGGTTGAATTACAATGTTGTGTTCATACAATGAGGAGGCTGCATCATCTATCACAGCACATAGGTAAGAGAATATGCAGTTTTCATTCAATCCCAACTGACATTTCAGACAGATACACCTTTGTAGTGAGTGCGGAGTATCGTCAAAAATACAGAAATGAAATGTGTGTGAAGTGCAGGAATACAGCATTAACAGGCCACAAATATGATCTCAGAACCTGTAGGAAACTGAGAAAATATTAAAGTTGATTAGTAGATGCAAAACAAGATGTTGGAGCTATTATCTTAAGCCACAAGAAAAAGCATGTTGAAAGTTAAACACAACCATATTTGCAGACTCTCACAAGATTGGTAGAAACTAGTTGGAATTAAAAACTTTTAGAAGACCATCCTAAACTTGAATTCAATTTTCCTCCCTGCAAGGTACACGTTACAAAGTTGATCTGTCCTGAATTAAATACAATAAATAGCTCAAATGCAATGCATTTAGCACCCAGAGTCAGATATTATAGGCTTGCAAGGCAAATGCCTCCACTTCAATATTATCAAACCTCAGATTCATTTATCATAGGCTTTATTTGGGTTGCATCATGCACCCTACGTACATGAATAATGGCAATTCTTTAAATGGCAAAGTAATTGCAACCCGATCAAATCAGAAATTTACTGTCAGATTAAAAACAAATATCAAACGGAGTTAACTTTTGAGACAAAGAATATTGTTTACTGTTGCATTTATTATCCTCTGCCAGGCTACATTAAATACAGTTTTCTTCCTCTGTATCCAATATTCTCTCTTTCCTGCTGCTCCCTGTCTTCTTCTAATTGTTTCCCCGGCCCCATGAAAAATGACCACCATTTGGCTTGTACAGTACCCTTAGCTTAGGCCCAGTTCATGACATTTCACACAGGAAAAAGTAGAAGTTCTGGAATTACAGAAGATGAAACACATTAGGACAGTTTAAAGTTTTAGGCAGGGAACGGCGGGATTAGAAAAAAGGTTTAGCTGTGAAGAGAGAAAAGTTTGAGTCATTTTCTTCTGAGCAGAGAAGGGTGAAGGGGACCTGATGGAGGTGTATAATATTTTGAGGGGCATGGACAGGGTGGATTGGAAGAAGTTGTTCTTCTTAGTTGAAGGGCCAGTAACAAAGGGGCATAATTTTAAGATGATGTGCAGGAGGTTTAGAGGGGATTTGGCTACTTTCCCTGAGTGGGTGGTGGGAATCTGGAATGCAATTCGTATGAGGATAGAGGCAGGAAATCTCAAATCTTTAAAAAGTACATGGATGACCACTTGAAATCTCATAACATTCAAGGACACAGGCCAAATGCTGGAAAATGGGAATACTGGAGACAAGCCAGTGCAGACTCAATGGGCCTAAGGGCTTCTTTTGTGTTCTACGATTCTCTGCAAGGGTTGTATGTAGTTGAATTCAAGGATACAAGTGCACAGGATTGCAGGTAGAACGAGGTTATCATTTAGCACCAAACCTCAGTAAAAGACCACAAGTTTGTGGTTTGTGTTCAGTTGTTTTTCCTCTCTTTTTCTTAAAAATAGCTCATTAGGTTTTACACTGATACTATTGGTAGAAAAAGAAAGAAAGTTACAACAAAGTGTTCATAATGGAGATTCTTCAAGTGTGAAAAGCAGGATTCCAGACTAACTTAGTTAATAACTGCTGTAAAATTTGACAGAGACAGAACATCAGCTGATATTTTGTAACTGCAGCATGTGAGAACTGCTTCACACCAAGATGTTCTACAGTGAACACATCTATCAGAAGATTTCGCATCTTGAGCAACTTCAGATCAGACTTGAAGAGTTGGAGTCCAAGCTGCAGACACTAAACCAAATTAAGAGGGGAAAAAAATTATCTAGACATTCCCCCCCCCCCCCCCACAGGAGGCAGTCACACCCCATAGTTTAGGTAAATCAGATTGGTCCATGATCAATAATTGGTAGGTGTGATTGTTGTGAGGCAGATCTTGAGGAGCTTGTCTCTGCAATTGTTCAAGTGTTACAAGATTCCTGCAAACTTTGTGGACAAGATGGGAACTGCAGGGTGGATGAATGAACTGATTGCAAAAGTTCCTAATGCTTTATGCCGGTCTTATTGCATGCAAGCAATCTATTTCATCACCTAGGAAATGGAGAATGATACTGATATCAGACAATCAGGAAAAAAACCCACTTCCAACCATAAGGTGGAAGAAAAGTTAAATAAAAGAAAAATACTACAGACGCTGGAAATCTGAAATAAAGACAGAATATGTTAGAGAAACTTAGCAGGTCTGGCAGCATGTGTGGAGACAGAAGCAGTGTTAACATTTCATGTCCAGTATCACCTTCTTCGGAATAGAAAGGAGTTGGAAAATTATCGACTCTAAATGTTAACTCCATTTCTCTCTGCACAGATGCCAGACCTGCTCAGTTTCTTCAGTATTTTGTTCTTTTTTAATGATGGAACATAGATAATTGATTAAGCAGAAGGTGATTGGGCACTAGTTACTACCTTGAAGAACTACTGCAGCACAATCCTGGGGCTGAGATGATTTACCATTTACCAACTACAACTAGCCCTCCTTTTGGCTAACTATGGCTCCAGATACTGGTGGTTTTCTCCCTGATTCTCACCAATTTTGATTCTGCATGGGCACCTTGACAAACTAGGTC